CAATACCAGAAGAATTTTCCAAACAATATAATTGAAAATCGTCTTATTGAAATTCTCAAGAGGACCAGTCACTTTGCGATTTCAGTGTAGGTGGCTCTTTCTGGGAGAAATCCACGAACGTGTACTATGTTCTCTCTTCTTCTCCGTGTATGACTGATCTCCCCTTTTGAGTCGATGCCCTTAGTTGTAAATTCCACATCGATGTATATTAAACCATCCTGATTCTGTTAAGCATTAAAATATATTCAGAAAATATTCTATGTCAATAATTTAAAAAACAACTCACTATATTTATTCTATATAAAAAAGAGAAATGAAGCTTTGCAGAAAAAGTAGAATAGTCCATTGTAAATATATAGATGCTAAATTTGTATCCGACGAAGTAGAATGTGGCTGTTTAATTAGTATTCTTTAAGTACATACAATCTAATTATTTCGATATGATTGGTTACTAGATAATTAATCTTTTTGTAATATACATATATTCATAGGGTTTAAACTCACAGGATAGATTTGATGATATTTATCTATAAGAGTATCAATCATTTTCCGGTTGTAAAAACTGGTCTAGATGGATGTGTAAGTGTGTTCTGTTTGACTCAATGATTCTCAACCTTATCACTAAAGTATTCGTTTTCATAAATTTACCAAGTACAAATACTCGAAATGTAATAAAAATAATATTACTGAAAAGCTATAAACATCATACCACTGACAAGCTAAAACATCGTATCACTGACTAGGTATAATAATTATACCACTGACAAGTTATAAACGTCATACCACTGACTAGGTATAATGATTATACCGCTGACAAGCTATAAACATCATACCACTGACTAGGTATAATAGTTATACCGCTGACAAGCTATAAACATCATACCACTGACCAGGTATAATAATTACACCACTGACAAGCTATAAACATCATACCACTGACTAGGTATAATAATCATACCACGGACAAGCTATAAACATCGTGCCACTGACTAGGTATAATGATTATACCACTGACAAGCAAAACATCGTACAACTGTACGTGAGTCGTTGTTCCTGTTCGATTCTTCTACCTCTTCTCTCACTTCTGGCAATTCCAATTCAGCCAGCTTTGTGTTCTTCATCAGGAGACGCTTATCAACAGCAGCATTAACAAAACCCGACTGAGGGGTGTCTGGTTCTTGGGCTAAAAGACCAAGACATATATAGTCATTTCATTTAATTGATAGTTGTTGTAATCATGAAGCAACAAATTTGTAGTTCATAAAACAACAAAGTAAAACCTTCCGATTTTCTTTTTTTTTCCTAAATAATGACAATTCAAAGAGCATTGAAAACAGATAGCTCTACTAATCAGCAACAACTGATTAATAATAATAACAAGTTTTAGGTGAAAAATACAAAATAACGTAATTCTCTTTATGAAGCTTAGCTACTTTTTAGCTCACCCGGGCCGAAGGCAAAACTGAGGTTTTCTGATCAAATGTTTTCCGTTGTCTGTCGTCGTCGTTGTCATCTTGTTCTGAAGAACCCCTGAACCAATTTCAACCAAACTTGCCACAAAGTATCCGTTTGTAAAGGGATTCAAGTTAGTTCAAATGAAGGGCCAAACTCCTCTTCCAAGGGGAGATAATTATGAATTAATTATAAATTATTTGTATTTTTAAAAATTTTCTCAAGAACAATTCGGCAAGGAAAGATGAAACTCATGTCGAAGCATCCTCATGTCAAGAACCACTGAGCCAGGAGAGATGAAACTCATGTGGAAGCATTCTTTGGTAGTAAAGATTTAAGTTTGTTCAAATCATGACCCCCGGAGATAGAGTGGGGCCTAAATGGGGTATCAAAGTTTAACATTGGAAAAATCTTTAGAAATCTTCTTCTCAAGAACCACTGGGCCAGGAAAGATGAAACGCATGTAAATAAATTATCTAGTAGATTAGATTCAGTTTTGTGCAAATCTAGCTGCAGAACTATAGCTCTCGGAAAAAAATATTGACAGACAGGAGAGCTACAGTTCCTCCCATTGAAAAAAACAGTATATGTATTGCGCACAAATAGTTCCTCTTGGTTCTGGATTAATTCTTTCAAATTCTTATCTCTAATGTAAAAAAGTTAGATTTCAAACAATTCCTTACTCCTCTATAAGTTCTCTCCTTGCTGACATCTTCACGAAGCGCTTTGGACCACTTGGTTCTTTTTAATTATCAGACGTTTTTAGGAGTTTGTCTCCTATTTATTTATCTGCCTATTTATATTATTACCGTAATTATTCCCATTGCTGAATAGCTGATTCAATCTATAGGTAAATATCTTCATATTTTCCTTGCATTTCATTGTTGACTTGAATCATTTTATTATCTATTGATTAATCAAATATAATTTATTAAATAAATCACAGCCATTTATCATATCTGAATAATTGTTGGTGTTCTTTATTGCTTACGATCTAGTATCTCGTGAAAAATCGGATTAATTTTAAGTGGACTATTACAGACCACTGTTACAGAAATTTTGATTGCCTTGTTACTTAAGTTGAGTGTTTATGACAAGTAGATATTGTGAAATACGTACATGTACTAGGATTACTTTCCTCTTGATATAAAGAGCACACAAAGTTATCTCACTTTCAGCCTTGTCGTGTTGATCAATGTGTTTTTTTTATCTGTCTTCTTACACGGATCATGCTGTATAAAGGGCAGATAACTCTCAACAGTATGAATTCTTTAGAAATGTCCTTACACAATATTTTGGCTGCTATTGTATGATATCGAGTTTCATTTTGTTTTCTTGTATATGTCCTCTCACTCAAAACTATCTTTGATCCATTTTCTTTCATTTCTATCTTCTAACAATCTGATTTTCACTTGAGAGAAATTTTTCTTTAATTATTAATTCAATTAACATCGATTGTTTAACAATGCATAACTCTTATTGAATTTTAATACATTAAACAGGTCGGCAGGGGATGCTCACTCCTCCATGGCACCTGATCCCACCTCTGATGTTTCGGAGGTCCGTGTTTGCTCTGCTCTTATTTTGTGTATTGTTTAATGGACTTTGAGATTGAATACTGTTCGTTATCTCCATATCCTTCCATATATATTTTCTTATGTTAAAATTTTGATCATTGTGAATATCATCTTTTCTCACTCTTTTAAAAAAGAATAATATAGCGTATTTATATCTGAATTCATAATGAGTGATTTAAATTTACTATGAATGTAAAAATTTGTTAGTAAATGATGCAGTTTATATATCTGTATTTGTCATGACACATAAGATAAACCTGCAATAAAAGACTAAAATGATGTGTGTTTTATTGTTATTATGGATAAACAAATTAGTGGCGGATCCAGAAATACTGAAAAGGTGGTTTGGGTCGGGCCAAAGAACCATACCAAGAAAAAATATACACAAAAGGAGACCGAGTCCACTGCCCCCTCTAAATCCAGAGTGCAATGTATAATATACATTGGCGTCTTAGAGAGAAAACTAATGCTTTCAAGTTTAAATGTTCATTTCATTGACCATGATGATTATTTTTTGTAATGGTTTAATGGGAGCAAAAAATTAAATAAATCGATAAATAAATTACTAGTGTCTCTTGCTTTTGATAATCAAATGTTCAGGTCCAAATTTTCTGGGTGCAGTTATTGAAAAAAATACGTCTAAAATAATTTTATAGAAAAATTTTCTTTTGAGTTACTGACAGTCATTACATGATGCTTTCAAATTGAAAACAGAAATTAAATTATTGATAGACCGTAAATGATGATTGAGCTGACACTTAATATACATTCCATCTAAAAACTGTTATAATTATCATAAAATCTAAAGTGTTTTCCAAATGATAAAATAAAAAAAAAGGATAAAAAAGGATAAATTTTAAGAATTAAATTTCATATTGTTTCAACTAAAAATATTGTTTGTGCCAGTATTTGTAGAAACATCTGTTCCCGCTTACTGCCTAAACCAATCCAGTCAAGTGCACAAGCTACAGAATTTTCACACTTAGAATGTAAAAGCAGTATGCGATACATATAAGTGGAATTTCTATAGTCATCCTTATATAAGTTGAAGTGGATGTGTAGAAAACCAAACTTTGATACTCATTTTGTCCCGTTTAAGTAAGTAATATAACTAGATCACAAGAAGTTCCTTATTGTTCTATGTTTTGTTTTTCATTAGATCTGGATTATCCACTACACATAAAAGCCCATAAGTGTAGATAGAGTATAATGGAGTAAGCTTATTAGAGAAAACATGCCTCTCCCTCTTTCAAGCATAGTATTTGAAAATCGCTGCAGGTTTTACTATGATATACAGTTTCGCTTCCTTGTGCACTTGGGCTTTATGTTATATATTGTAAATCACAGGCCTTTAGATCGCTTTGAAAAAAAATGTGGTGTCATTAAAAAAATCTTTTTTTACATTCACAATTTTTCAAAGCGATCCAAAGGCCTTTTATGTAAACAATATTTCTGTTGGAAAATCTGTGACAGTGATAAAAAACTGAAACATTCTATCAAACTTAAAAGACTGTTTTGGCTGAATAATTTTTCTCATTATTTATTTTATTATTATTTTATTTTTGCAAATATAGCGCTTTCTAAAATATGACTCCCCATCTTTCCCCCGAAAGTCGTGACACTTTGGTCCATTATTTCATCACTTTTACCTTGTTTTTATCTTTTTTGTGTTACGTGTAGAGGTATACACAGCTCTTCTTTGGGACAAATAAGTCCAACATCTCCCAACAATTTTTCAAAATTTAGAATCCTTTGTGTCAGGTACGAAATGATATGAAAATTAATAAAGAGTACATATTTTAAAAATTAGATGAAAAGACATCTTTTTGATTGCGTAAGTTTATTTTAATTCCAGGAAGACTGAAGTTAATGATTACACCAGGTCCGTACCTATTGAAAATAAAGTGATCAATGGAGTTAAATATTACATCAATACAGGGCTTCTTGACTTTTTTAAAAACTGAGTGCAAAAAATTATGAAACAACACACGCATACACCTGTTTCGTTCCTGGTGAATGTAAATTAGAAGTTGTCCAAATTATTTTGAGCAATGGTTCCTTTTAGTATAATTCATATAAAGACGTGGATGAATACTTATACTTGAACACATGCATACCCAATTCAAGTAAAATGATCTAATCTTTCAGGACTTCTAGCGATGGGCGAAGAAATGCGTAAAGTATAGAAGAATGCAGTTTTTGAAAATGAAATGAAAATTTTGTTTATCTTTCTTCCTTTTAGACACATAATTAAAAAAAAAAGATTTTTTTTAATGGAGATTTATATGCAATTATATTATATGCAGTCTATATGCAATTATCTTTCGGTATCCATGATGAAAATAGATGATCTAATTCACAATTCTAAATACAAGCAGACAAAGAAATGCAAGACTTTAAAAAACAATGAATGTAAAAAAGTTTAATCTGTCGTCAATAAATCCAGATGTACACATCTGTGAATTGATTCTTGATTTATCATCTCACTACAAACGATCACTTGACATTTTTCCGCGTTTCCTGTACAGGTGGCGCTTTCTGGGTGAAATCCACGAAAGTGTACTCTGTCTTCTCTTCTTCTCCGTGTATGACTGGTCTCCCCTTTGTATCTGAACTTTGGGGTTTTCTCGCAAATTCAACATCGATATAAACTAAACCATCTTGATTCTATAAAGCAATAAAAAAATCAATTTGAAAGAATAACTCCTTAACACTAAAAACAGGAAATACTCATAAGACTTGAAAATATTTCTGTTAAATTTGGGTCGATTTTATTTCTGTTTCATTATTTGCTGGCTTGGAAACTTATAATCATCACATGAAATGGACAATTTTATTATACTTTAAAGGGACCATTTTATTATTACTTTAAATGGACCATTTTATTATCACTTTAAATGGACCATTATCTTAGTACTTTAACATGATATTTAACTTTCCTATATTTTAACTACTTTAAAGGGACCATTTTATTATCATTTTAAATCGACTAATTTATGATCACTTTAAATTTACATGTACATGGACCATTTGATTAATTTGCATACATGTGCATAAAGTGCATACATGGATTATATTTTATTCTAATGCAATTTTTTTTGTAAAACACCTTTTGATTGGCTAATGCACTGATGTTTGAAGCAGTAAAACGAGCATTAACGAGGCAGGAAGCTTTTCATTGTGACGTCATAATAGAGCAACGCAAAAACACAATGCCCTGTGACGTATTTCTTGTAAAGAAATCAACAAAATAAGACGCAAACAACAAACAAAATGCATGGATTGGATTAGAGGGGGAATAACCATCTTCTATTTGGGTATTTGCGACCATAATGCTGATTTAACGGTCGCAAACGCGTTGCCGGTAAAACTCAGTTTGCGACCGTTAAATCAGCATTAACGGTCGCAACTGCCAAATTTGAAGAGAGTTATTCCCTAAATTATTCAAATCTAAAATTTTTTTTATACTTATTGCTATTCACATCATACCGTTGAACGTGAGTTGTCGTTACTGGTAGATGCTCCAGCTTCTTCATTCTTTTCTTGCAACCCCTTTTCTTCATGCTTCTTCTTTTCTTTCTTTTCATCCGTTTGTTGTTTCTTAGGATGTTTTATCACTTCTGAGTACATTGTGTCGTTGTCATCTAAACACAATGAGGTACATATTGAACCCGAAATTAGAAAAAAAAACATTAGACTCAATATAATACTTGGAGAGATAGATTGCAGGACTACCATTTTGATCCTTGGTGACGTCATTCTTCATTACGTCATCCTGTTGCCTGTTCTTCAGCAGAACACTCTTGTCAACAGCAGCGTACACAACAACATCCGCTGGTGTATCATCCTGAACTGTGGCTGTAAACATTTATTGTTTTTTAAAAACGTAAAATATGCACGGAAAAATATATTATTATATTTTGAAGTTTTTTAACCACATTAAAAAAGAAGAAAAAACGTTGCCCCTCGCACAAACAAATCGATATTGAAATGGATTGCTGGTATTGTTATATTGCCCTTTTATAACAACTAGTAATTTCCTACATTAACTGCCCTGATAACTTTTTATTTAATAAACATTTTTCTTGTAAAATTTCTCATCTAAAATTGTAGACATAAGGATGAAAAAGTTAGAAAATACGGTACGTGTAAAAGGGCATTTTGTTCTGTGTAGAATGGATGGATTAAATATGATTAAACTTTTGGTAATCAAGTATATACCATTAACGTATTCAATATTTTTTAAATAAGATTTTCCTTGTCTGTTTGAAAGCCACCGATTTTAAAAGTAAACCCAAATACAGTATATTCAGATTTTTATTAGAACGTAAGATGGATGTTGTAATATTTTGACACTATATCTGCTTACATTCACTGAGTCCTTCCTCCCTGTTTCTTTTCTTTGGAGCTGACTTTTTAGTCTTTTTACAATACATCGTTACCGCTCCAGTCAAAATCACAACAAGGAGAAAACCAACCGCAGAAGCTCCAACCAAAACCAACATTGTATTGTCTCCAAACAGAGCGGAGGACGAGATCGGCGGAGCTTTAAATATCATGAAAATGTGTTCATTCTCTAATATATTGTGCAAAGAAACACGACGGGTGATCAAAAAGTTAGCAAACAAATTCCTCTTTCTGGCTAGACAATTAAGGATAGTTCATATAAATTCTACGATGGTGATCAAAAAGTTCGCGAACTATCTATTAATTGAATTGTAATGATTTCCTCCATCACTGTGACCCCACAATGTGAAAATGACGTCAAAGCGTAGGTAATCCGTGACGAAATATGGTTGTCCTAGTCTTAGTCGAACAACGAGCACGTCAATGTGATTGCAACACAACGGTAATGTTGACAAATGTTTAAGGAATCACTGTCTAGTTTTGAGAGTATGCCAGGGCATCAACAGTAGTGGGAAACATGGGATAATTTGCATAACGGGCGAAGCGAAGGGCGAAGTGATTCCTTATATTTCCATTTCATTGTGAAATAAAATTGTAGATTTAGACTTTAAAAATGTAGACATAGACTATAATCACACGAGGACTTCCATGCCAATTTCAATAGTCTTCGCCCACTGACGTCCAACACATATGCAGCCGCACGAGATTTACATGCATATTTGGCCTCCTTAGTTTCAGACACAGAGACAGATGTGCACAAGATTTGCATGCGTATTAGGCCTCCTTAGCTCCTGACCTATCGACCTGCCTAATTTACATTCCGGCAGAATTATCAAGAAATAAACTCCAACAACTTTCAAAGAGTTTTCACAGAGAAAAAAAAATTAGAAATGGTAATATTTACTTATATACGGGAGTGCTATTGTGTTTCCGCGCTTGACTAACCAAAAAGTAAAATACGGGTGTGGATAAAAAAAACAAAATATCACATTTGCATATTTTTATGACAAGTGCAAGCCCTAAAATTTATTTGCGCCAATGCACTCCCACTTGCGTTTGCGCTAAAATACTTATGTGCCAAGTTTTCTCGTTATACAGTATAACTTCGCGATCTTTCATAACAAATCGCCCAACAAAAGACATAATTCTTCCCCAGCTTGCCTTCGCTGGGATACAAAACAACCGTTATTTTTAACCATATCCCTCCCTTAACTTTAACAGTCAATCCAATTTATGATTGAACGCCTTGAAAGCCTATTGTCTTCATAAACCTTGTACAAATTGTTATAAGATACTTCAGAGAAATTCCTAAGTTATACGTTAAACTTTAAAGCTGTTCGTTGTTCGACTAAGACTGTGACAACCATTTTTCGTCACGGATTACCTACGTATTGAAGTCATTTTCACATTGTGAGGTCACAGTGATGGAGGAAATCATTAGAATTCAATTAATAGATAGTTTGCAAACTTTTTGATCACCCTCGTAGAATTTATATGAATTATCCTTAATTGTCTAGCCAGAAAGAGACCTAAGTAATAATATTGTAGAAATACTAATACATGTTGAACCTGTACTTTGTTAAGTAACTAGGAGATAATGTAGTAGAAAAAATATATACATGTAAGATACTTCACCCAATCGCATCATCTTGGGTCTTTCCGTCAGAGGTCGGAAAAACAACCTCGAATGTATTAACATCATCGGATGTTAAAAAAGTTATACATTTCCCGTTTCTTCAAATATATGATAGACTGAGTTAGAAGTCCCTTCTATAGTATGTTTTAGGTAATATAATTACATTGAATAAAGTTAAACTCCATATTCCACAGATAAAATGTCCCCATGCATTTATTTCAAAGATCAAGGGAGGGTTGTAATGGCGTCTTATATATACATTCGAGGTCGTTTTTCCGCTGGTCGGAAAGATGAGAAGTTGCGATTGATACTTCACCTTTAACTTTGACTTTAACTTCTCTCGGACTCAAAGAACAGTTGATTCTATTACAACTCTCCAGTTGGTACCAGTACTGCTGTCCAGGAGTCAAAGGTCCTGGGTCATAATGCCCTATGTTACCTTCACCAGGGTCTGTTAGATTCGCATCTTGTATCCAGCTTGATCCTTCTTTTTGATATAAGATAAAGAATTGTTCCGGTCCTCCATTAAAGTTCGATATCCACGTAAGGTTGACGAATCCAACAGCGTAGGAATAACAGGTAAAGTTCAATGGGGGCAGAGGTTTATCTAAAAAAAAAAATCAAGCTTAAAAATTATCAGATGCTATTTTCAAGGCAGATATGTTTACATCTATAGTAAGGAAAAATCGATATTTCATCGATAAAAATAGAACTGTTGGCAAAATACTGATCACATCAACTGGGTGGCAAAATACTGATAACATTTTTTCCAGAAAAAAAAGATAATGAGTTCAAAAGAAATAAAACGCGGATATGAGAACTTAGGGTTAATTAATCAGCAATATTATTCTCCTTTTAAAATCTAATAATGCATATACAGTACCGACCAGACCCAACCTGACACAAAGCAGTCCCACAGCAGTCCCGGTGACTGCCTTCTGGGCATTCCCACAGTATTCCCAGAGCAGTCCCAGCGGTCCCAGGGAGCACTCCCAGCAGCTCCAGTGGGCGGAGTTTATTAATTTTATGGGCGGGGCTAACTAATAAATTAGATTTCCAATAAACAATGGCACTTTAAAAGGCAGCTGAAATTATTTATTCTGAGTAGTATTCCAGGAATCCTTACTATGCGAAGGTCATTTACATTTAAGACCAGTTCCCGCATGGAAACAATTTGAAATAATATTTACTGAATAAAGAAAGCTTTCACAACTACACAAATGAATTACACTGAGCATGAATATTTAATCACAATTAACTGATTTTATCAGTAATTCAATTTAATTTTTTTTCTGTGATTGATACTGGTGTCAGTATTTATCTTTTTTTTTATTAAACAAAAAAATTACCTGGAATTGATTATTTTCCACCAGAATTAGCTTTAATTAGATCTTATCATTTAATAGTGAGGCCAATTTCCATACTAAAGGCATTTCCTTATTAAGATTGAAGTTTTGATAAACTCTAAATTGTTAATTTTGCCAAGATTTAATTTTAATTTTACTGGCATGTAAAATTTAATTATTATTAGTTTTCCTAGATCTACAGTACTCAAATTTAAGGGTTTTATTTGTAAATTAAGGTATGAAACACTCAGATTATATTCAAAATTAATTAATTAGAAATTAATACAAATTTCATTCATCTTTTTTTTCTTTACATAGATTGAAATAAGGGTCATAGGGAGCATGTTCAATGATGTGTAACATTGATATATGTACCCAAATGCATGCATGATTGATTTTCTGCCCAAAGTTGATTGAAACCGCAAGTGTTGATACCATTTTATTTAAGCACATTATCGGCCAGGTAAACACATGTCAAGCAAAACAAAAAAAAAAAAAAAAAAACAAGATGTGTTTGTGAAACACTGATGCCCCCGTATGGCAACATAGCAAAGATTAAGCTTTTCTTAAATGCAAATTTAACTAAATAGTACCAAAAGTAGGGTATTCTCACTGGAAAACAATTGTGAAATTTAAAAGTAACCAAATGTTCAAGTTTTTTTTAAATAAGTACAAAAATCTCCAAAGTCAAGGTCAAAAGGTCAATGTAATTAGTATCAAATGAAATGTCTTGCCATATAGAATACTTATGTTGAGCATGAAAGCCCTAGTCCTAACCATTCAGAAGTTATGGCCAACGTTCATTTTTTTTTAAAAGTAGGTCAAACTCCAAGGTCAAGGTCAACGTTCTTGTTATCAAATGAAAGGTCTTGTCATAAGAATCAAATGTGTAAAGTATGAAAGCACTAGCCCTAACGCTTTAAAAGTTATTGTCAAGGTTTGCTTTTTTAAAGTAGGTCAATCTCAAAGGTAAAGGTCAGAGGGTCAAAGTTCTTGGTAACCAACGAAGGGTCTTCTCACAAGGATTACATATATGCAGTATGAAAGCCCTATTACTTACTGTTCAAAAGTTATGGCAAAGGTTAAAGTTTTTTCACAAGTACGGAAATCTACAAGGTCAAGGTCAAAGGGTCAAGGTTGTTGGTATCCAATTAAAGGTCTTTCAACAAACATTACATATGTGAAGTATAAATGTCTTGGTATCCACTGTTCAAAAGATATAGCCAAAGTAAAAGTTCAAAATTTTCATGTAAAAGTGGGTCAAACTCCAAGGTCAAGGTCAAAAGGTCAAATTTGGTGGTACACCAACGAAGGGTCTTCTCACAAGGATTATATATATGAAGTATGAAAGTCCTATTACTTATCGTTCAAAAGTTATGGCAAAGGTTAAAGTTTTTTCACAAGTACGGAAATCTACAAGGTCAAGGTCAAAGGGTCAAGGTTGTTGGTATCCAATGAAAGGTCTTCCAACAAACATTAGATATGTGAAGTATAAATGTCCTGGTATCTACTTTTCAAAAGATATGGCCAAAGAAAAAGTTTAAAATTTTCATGTAAAAGTGGGTCAAACTCCAAGGTCAAGGTTAGTTAGGTAGTTAGTACCTACAGCATTATAAAGATACCGTATATTATGACGTCATGTTATAATATGACGTCATTGATCTTTTCCATTCAAGGTAAAAAACACATCATCAAAACAACACGGGCGCAAGAGCATATCTTATTAGCTCACCTGAGCCGAAGGCTCAAGTGAGCTTTTCTGATCACATTTTGTCTGTAGTCCGTCTGTCTGTCTGTAAACTTTTCACATTTTCGACTTCTTCTCAAGAACCGCCGGACCAATTTCAACCAAACTTGCCACAAAGCATCCTTGGGTAAAGGGGATTCAAGTTTTTTCAAATGAAGGGCCACGCCCTCATTCAAGGGGAGATAATTGGGAATTAATAAAAATTTGTTGGCATGTTTTAAAAATCTTCTTCTCAAGAACCACTGTGCCAGGAAAGCTGAAACTTATATGGAAGCATCCTCAGGTAGTGTAGATTCAAGTTTGTTCAAATCATGACCCCGGGGGTAGGGTGGGGCCACAATGGCCGACTAAAGTTTTACATAGAAATATATAGGACAATTCTTTAAAAATCTTCTTCTCAAGAACCACTGTGCCAGGAAAGCTGAAACTTATATGGAAGCATCCTCAGGTAGTGTAGATTCAAGTTTGTTCACATCATGACCCCCGGGGGTAGGGCGGGGCCACAATGACCGACCAAAGTTTTACATAGAAATATATAGAAAAATTCGTTAAAAATCTTCCTCTGAAGAACCACTGTGCCAGGAAAGCTGAAACTTATATGGAAGCATCCTCAGGTAGTGTTGATTCAAGTTTGTTCACATCATGACCCCCGGGGGTAGGGCGGGGCCACAATGGCCGACCAAATAGAAATATAGAAACATATAGGAGAAATTCTTTAAAAATCTTTTTTCTCAAGAATAGAAAAGTCATAATTGATCATATTTATATGGAAGCATCCTCAGGTAGTGTAGATTCAAGTTTGTTCAAATCATGACCCCTAGAAGTAGGACAGGGCCAAAATGGCCGATCAAAGTTTTATATAGAATTATATAGGAAAATTCTTTAAAAATCTTCTTCTCTAGAAAAGCAAAGCTATAATTGATCATATTAATATGGAAGCATCCTCCGGTAGTGTAGATTAATGTTTGTTTAAATCATGGCCTCCCAGGGGTAGGGCGGGGCCAAAATGGCCAACAAAATTTTTGCATAGATATATATAGGAACATTTTTAAAAATTTCTTCTCAAGAATAGCAAAGCCACGATTGGTCATGGAACTACTTTTGGATTTAAACTTTTCAATAAGAATCGAATTTCTACTTTTTCTTAGCCACAGTGCTCAGGTGAGCGATGTGGCCCATGGGCCTCTTGTTTAATTTTTAAAACATTTAAAACATTTAAAACATTATGTATATTATTATATCTCATTATAACTTTACCACACAACACGTTACCTGATTGGTCAAATTCTAGATCATCACGTGATCGGACCATAAAACTTCATATTTCACGAACGTCGGATACCTAGACTAAGTGCATTTTCCCGCAATAGTTATCGTTCGTTGAAAGAAAACTCCCGAGAGTAGTAGACGTCACAATAGCCTGGTTTACGTCACAATATTGATGATAAGCGATGGGAAACTTTACGTTAAAAATTATGAAAGTGAATTTGAGAGCAGGTTCGAATTTGAAAGTTCAATCAAAGTAAAATCCCATGTCGACCGGTCATACTCGTCGTCTGCTCCTTATTATGTTCTCGAAAAATCCGTAGACAATTCACTGTAGAAATAATACAATTTATTTTCAATACAAAATAAATCTCATAATTATAGCAAGTAAACAAAAGTTTATTTATACCAGATAAAACTGTGGGAAAAAAATCCTGTTATTTTTGTAAATTTTCCATTCATTTGGATATCGACCACAGAACTTCCAACAAGTTGCTGTCTTTTAAAAAAGGACTGCAATACGTGGACCATATGCATGTGTTTCTAACTGAAATTCTATATAAAAATACAATGATCTGCCAGCTTTTCCCCAAATATATACTTATCATAGACATTGAACATTGCTGCGTAGGTTTAGCCCGCCCCCCCCCCCAACTTTCCACCGACAAGTCGCAGTATAGGTTAAAAAGAGGGAAGCGGTGGTACTGAAGTTTGAACCTGAACCCCCCCCCCCCCCCCTCGAAATAGGATTTTCGTGTTTGGGAAAATGACATTTCCCTTTTTTTGTTTTTGTTGGTTTTTTTTTTGGACTATCAGGTTTTTTTGAAGGTATAGTTTTTTTTACACTTAGCCCCCCCCCCCCCCCTCACCCACTTTCAATTTGCTTCCGACGCCAATGCATTGTAGTCTCAAAGCAAAACTGTTTAATTTTATCTCCGATTTATACGGAAGAAATCTATCATGGTAAAATAGATCTGATGGTTCACGTGTGGCACAACTCTGACGTACTCAGATTTTTTTGTCAGAGCCCCCCCCCCCCCCCCCCCAACATTAAAAACCGTTGCTACCGACCTCCATTAGACGGTAAATGGATGACTGAAATATCAAATTATTTTGCGAGCCTTGATACACAGATTTAATGCCGGTGAAAACTTGTTTTATCTTTCAAAAGCTTTAACTAGTCGTTCAATGACGTTTTTCATTCAAGTTGTTAAGTTACATGTATTGATATACTGCAAGTTCTTCCTACTTTTTGAAATGCTTGTGCAATTAAACATGTCGAATCAATAAAAGTATACGTATGAGAGAAATATTCGGATCTGCCACTAAATATATAGATGCGATATGCGCGATTTGCCAATAAATGGCATTGATTCTACGGGCAAGTTGCCTAAGGTGCGAACTCTCTAGCATATTCGCGCATGCGTAGCCTGTCGTTTGCCCATGGCATCCTGTTTAGCCTCGCTTATATATTTACTGCGTGGACCACAGGGTCCACGCAAAAAGATTACTTTTCAATATTTGTCTTCTTTTACTTGTTTACAATAACTTGCTTCATTTAAGAAACTGTTCGAACACAGAGCACTCTGGCATATCAAATCGACTGAGAGAGTAAAACCCCATACGCAAGTGATAAGGGTATACACGCATTGATATTTAAGTTAGGGAAATTGAAAAGGGAAATTTAAGTTCATCATAAAGCTTTGTTGTTAAGTTCTATGTAATGTCTTTTTCTAGAAACGATATGAAAGATATGAAAGAGGTATATTTCAAGCTTACTTGGATACATGCACATGTACGACATATGCATGGAAATAATTATTGTTAGTCTATAATCCGTCACCTATATATACATATATATATATTGTTTAAAAAGGAACTTAGTTTTTATTGTACTTGTTTAAAAGAATAAACAGGAAAGTATGCAAAAAAGTCCAAATATTCTGAAAGGGAGAAAACATACCGATAATATCTTTAAAAAACAGTCTAATTTTCTACGACAAAACGAATCAAATGGTTTGCTTTTTGTGGTGATAAAAATCATTCCAATGAAAAGATTGCTAGATCTTTTGAAATGCAATTCTGCACCAAATATACCCGATATACATTATATGTAGGGGAAACAATATTGGATGTCACGTGCCCTTACGTTTACTGATTCTTCACAAAGGGTTGGGAATATATCGCAAACCTTTCTTTACAAACAAAGAATAAGTATAATAACTTTAAGCTATATTTGCATTCCTACTAAAATTTTCTAGCTAATTTATATAGTACATAGGCATAACATTCCTTTTTTAAAAGGTTCTGCATGCTTCAAAGGCTTTCACCTGATTGAGAATAAATGCACAATGAAAAACACTAGATAAAAACAAAATGCAACCTTCGGCGTTAATCGTAATATTAGCGATGACTTTTCCTTCATATTTCAGTGAGTAGTTTCCAAAGGATCCTTGACTCCGAATAGGAATAGTGCTGTTGATCCAATGTTTGTAGACAACGTTATCTCTTTGTGAAACTTTAATCGATATAATCTGTTGTGTAGGTCCTGACCAAGCAAACCTTGATGAAGATGTTAAGGGATTTGCAATAACAGGCAAACTAACATGAACGTTCACGTCCGGACCACTCATTGACCCAAAGATCCTTTTAAATAAGTTGGAGTTATCAAGGCGAGGCTTACCTAGAACATAAGATACAAAGTTGCAAATAAGTTGTATTTCAGTAATTCAAAGTAATGATTAAATAATTTCAGACTCTAATTTTTTGTTCGTTTTTATAATGTTAAGGGCAATGTATTATAAATTCTTTTCAAAGTAGATTTATTATTTATAAGTTTGTGAGATTGCTTTTTGGGGCTTTTGCAGGAAAAGTTATAGAAAATTTAGCATATTTTTGAGAAATGCATCAATCATACGTGAAATACCTTTTTTTCTTATTCTTATCATAAATAGATGTATGAATAAACAAATTAATGTATTTACTTCACTTAGGTTCAGGGGCAAAAAATATGTAAGATGGACGTTTGCATATCGTATGCTTATGTTCAAAATGTCTTTCTTTAACTAGTTTTTAAAACATGATGAAGTCTTGCAATATTTACTGACTTGTAAATATTACATGGATCTACAATCAATTACCTGCATGTCTAAAAATTAAAAAAAATTAAAATAGTTTAACATAGAATATTTTCCCGGGCGACACTACTAATGACAACAATATATTTGTGGAAAATGACTCGAAAGATTTACGATATGAAAACAATGGTAATGTAAACTGACAGTGAACGTTGATAGAGAATGATTGATTCCTGCTTCCAAACTCGGTTGAGTTTGCCTCACAGCTGTAATTGAATGTGTCAGAACATTGTGCATCTCTTTGTAAGGTGTAGTTTAATTGTTTTTGCCACAGAATCTGGTTGCCAGTGAGTTTCGTAAGGGTTACTTCTGGAGTGGGATCTCCCATGACGAGACATGTAAGATTTAGAAGACTACCTTCATCCATCGTAAAGGAATTTTGAAGTTTTCTATTGATGTACACCTTAGGGTCCATGAGATCTAAAAACAAAGACCATTTATGCATTCCTTAAATAAAAAAAAAAATGAATAAATAAGGTATTATTTATTGTGTGTATGTCGTTCAAAATATTCAAATAATTGGATAGGTCTATATACACGATTGCTAATGTTATAATTATTTTTTTATTCTTACTTTCGGCCTGTTTAAAGAGGCGATCTCTTTTCAATGCCAACTTCTTTCAGAAATATTTTTTGCATACAATACTTCATTTCCCTGATATCATCTTACTGTATTAAAAAAAGGGGGGCAATGAACATTTTCCATAGCAAAAGAAATTGGGAAAAAAGTCCCCCCCTCCCCGGCCTGCCCTGTCATGATATAAAAAGCACGGATAAGAGTCAGAGGAAATTCTATAATGTAGGTTTTTTAATACATACATCTATTAGAGTGAACACTTGGAATTTTTGTTAAGTGTTTAATGTTTTATTCTGTACTCTGTATATATTGTACATAATATGATAAGCCTTTGGCTTAAAGAATAAAGAAACTGATACTAAACTGACATTTATAATTCAAATAATGATATGTTTGAACTTTGGTAATTAATTGTGCCAAAATGTAAATTATTTATAAATTCTTTGCTACGAACTCTAAACGAACTCTAAATTCTATATATACATTTGATAATCGTAAAGAAAAAAGAAAAGAGATTTATCTTTTGTGATGCCATCCCTCAATTTTCGAGTCGCTGATTTTGTAGTAGAACACGGACCTGTTAGTTAACTATAGATTTTGGGTCAATTTGAAATTCTGACATTGCACAAATGTTTTTCCCGCAGTAGCATCTGGACCCACAATCCTTGCCAATTGCATTAATCCGCAAAATACGGTAACAGCGTAGTTCATTCAAAAATAACTCACCTTGATTTAATGGTTATTGCAGATTTTGATTGATTTGAACAATTTTATTTGTAATTTAATTAATTACGATTGGGCACAAGTTCTGAAAACTTATAACGCGCTCTCCCAAAATAGTTGAGTTTGTTAAAATATGAACTCTTCGATAACACAACTTGCTGAATAAAGAATCAATTATGTCAAGAATCTAGACATTCCAAAAGTAACGCGCAGTTTAGAAAGGCGGATCTTCAACATTACGTTATATTTTTTGGGGCTCACTCTAACGATTGCACCGTCAACATATTAGAATACACCTACATTGAATTTTTAACTTGATACCATTCTTCCCATGCCCTTCACTGTTGTTGGCTACGCATCGAATAAGGGTCATCATAGTTCTGTCTGCGTTTAGATTTGGTAAAGATAATGGAGAAACCCCATAGGTTGTAATATTTTCAAAACCTCCTTTCGCACGTTTATATTTCCACTGTACGGTACAAGACGGATAACAGTCCGCTGAGCAGTTGTACGGACCTATTGGATCGCCATCTTTGATTGTAATTGTGTCATTAAGAGGTTGTGGGGTTATCATCACTTTTTCTGGACCATCTGTAAAAGGAGAACTCTAGGTAAAAATTATTATTTCAAAACTTCACATACAGTATATTCTCGAAGCTTCTTGGTTGATAGTAAACATATTCGTATTTATTATATAAGATACTAGAGAAAGAGCACGGACTTTTTTTGTCCAGTCAATTTCTGATAAATCTAAACTGGTTGTCAATGCAGCATTTATCTCTTGGGGCCTTAGTGACTGTGTATCCATTGAAAATGAGGCAGGAATTAAGAATATCTTTGTTTCCCCTAACCCGACCAAAAAATCTCACGTTCGGTCGGTAAGTATGTCGTTTACTGATTTAAGTATTTTAATTTTCAAATAAAAATCAGTAAACGACAAGTAGATTAACATTTTTTTTTTGGACAGCAGCTTTGAAAATGCATTTTTTGCAATATTTAATGGAAAATTACCTTAAATAAGAAAAGCACAAAAAAAGCGGTTTGTGAGCAAAATGCTAAGTATCATTCAAATGCTGTTTAAAAGAAAATTCATGATTAATTAATTTACAAATGTTATTTAGTCAAAAAATATTCAAAAAAAAAAAAAAAACTATTTGAATCACCTTAGGCCAAAATAAAAAAAAAAATCCTTTGTTTCCCCTAACGCGACTGACCCAATCAAATCGTGCCGACTGAAAAGATTTTTTAAAAAAGGTGATTCAAATATTCTTTTATTGTTAACAAAGTTTTATAAAATACAATGTCATTAAAATAAGTTTTTATCAGAATGGCCGACCTTGTTCTACTGTGATTTTCAAGCATTTGTTAGAAACAAAATGTCGCCCAGATGTGATTACAGAGAATTATTTCTTCATAAAACAACGGCGACGTCTTAATCTTATGCATTTTGCTAATTAGAATTCTTGATTCTTGAAACAATTCGATTATAGAATTTACCGTGACTAAATAAGATATGTCTTGGGTCTCCATTTGAGTGAATAAATTTTCGAAAGAGACCTTAAACAACAAACAAACAAACCTGTCTGTTGAATTTAAGGTACTTAATACATGGTGCATGCAAGGCCCGCCTCATGAGAAAATGAGGGGCCCACCTAGTGAACACATCATTCAAGTTCACTGCATTTTATTTTATATGAGTTTGGATCTAGTCACCTTTTCATCTATGTTTACTATGTGCCATCATGGAACCATAGGAGTTGTTGTAAATATGTCTGCATATTCAATCTGATAAATATAATTCAGACGTCCTTTCTTCATGCCTTTATTTATGGGTTAAAATTCGAGACTATGACATTGTATATATCATTTTTATCATCATTTCGGTTTGGTTCAAAAGATTGGTTGTTTCTTTGCTTTTAATCCCTCTGGGATTTTATACGTACTCAGCACTTCTTTGCCATTATACAGTGGGGGATCGTCTTTGAGAGCTAGCGACACTGGGCCTACATGTAAGTTTTTATAGTCTCTTTTGTAGGACCGCTTTCAACTTTCTTTCGTGGGATTTGAACCTGCGACTCAAAATTAGCCACTTACTTCTCAACTCCAAAGCAAAATGATCCAAAATCACTTCAAATCTCATGACCCTCAAAAAAGTACATTGTCTATAAGCACTGGAGGCTGATGGAAGGTTTGGAAAAAAAATATATACCGGGTACTTGGATATCCGGTCTTAGCGTATTTAAGAATCTTGTCTTTTTATCGATTGATATAAATATACTCTGCCGTGAAATATTTCACAAGTTCAATTAAATAACCGTTGTGAATTAATCATGAATTTTTTTAAAACAGCATTTGAATGATACTTAGCATTTTGTTCACGAACCGCTTTCTTTTGTGCCTTTCTTATTTAATGTAATTTTCTATTAAATTTTAGAATGCATTTTCAAAGCTGCTGTCAAAAAAAAAAACATGCTAACCTACCTATCGACCCAACTGGAGAATTTTGGGTCTGGTTAGGGGAAACAAAGACATTTTCAATTCTGGCCTTATTTGAAAAATCTTTTCAGTCGGCGCAATTTAATAGGGTCGGTTGCGTTAGGAGAAACAAAGCTATTTTTTTTTTAATTTTGGCCTGACCTAATTTCTTTCCAGTCAATGTATTCTGACGTCATGAAATGCATAATATTTACAATATCCCGTAAATACCTTTAAAAATTGCCATTAACACCATTTTTATAAAGCACAACCTCAGATCCAAAATACTGTACGTGTTCATAATTTGGCGTAATCACTAGATATGGAGTTGTTGGCGTAATCATTAATACAGTATTTATCTATATAATGAAAAACCAGTTTCTGAAAATCCAAAACCATGCTTTAATTTTTGGATCGATGGTTATGCTTATATTTTGATTCTTTGCTGCATGTAGTCAAATACACTTGTTTTGTGCAAAATTCAAGAACGTTTCATTTTCAAAAAGCCCGTTTTATGAAAAAAAATGGAGTAATAGAAAATGAGAGCACCAATTAAGTTTCAATTTTATTTTGATTTAAAACATTTTTGTGACTTCATCCTTTGTGAAACCTGGTTCAGTAAATTTCTTATTGTTCTGCACAACGGCCAATAAATTACCTGTTGGTGTCCAATAAGATTCAACCTATTGGACAGGTACAGGTATCAGTCAACAATGTTTGAAATTTGTAGCGTAAGATGTAAATATTTCACTAAAAATTCTCCTGAAAATGGCAAAAATATTATCCTAAATGAATTGAATATATTACAAACATGAATGTAAAAGAATCCGTAGAAAAACCGCGTGTAAGTTAGAAACTGTTTCTTGCAAATTCCGAAATAAAAAATATATGCTTTGCATTTCACAGCTGAAAACTTACAATGAAACTTGCATTATGGTGGTTTTAAATAATGGCATTGTCAAAACACCTGAATTGGAAGTCCTTACTTAAAATGTCCGTCGTCACCCGTGATTGTTGCGTTGTAAAATGATTTAATTGTCAAGAATTTAATATAGTTTACTCCTACATTTCATATATCACAATATCGCAATGCGGTTAAACGATACAAATGCTAAACAAAGTTAATGTCCATATTTATCATTATATTATATGGTTCGATGATTTGCACTATTGAAAAAGTACAGACGAGAAGCTAAAACTATTTTTCTTTGGCCTAACTTGACGAAATGTGCTAGGTAGTCATCAAAGCAGAACGAGACCCGTTAACCTCTGGCTGTACAATGCATTTAGCCTCAAACTGATCTTTATGTCAAATATAAGACTCTACTCTTCCTTCGGACCGTTTGAAATCTGGAAAGTTTTCGACTTATAACCATTACTTTTAAAACGGGACAAAAGGTTAAAGTCAATTAATTGATATAAGGAAAGGGTCATTTTATGCCTAAAGTTAACCTAGTTGTTTAAATAATCGAATTGTTTTATGAAAAAGGACATTGCTTTTCAGATTTACAATATCAGAATAGGACCGAACAAAAAGGATCAGCGAAGATAAGTTTGATATCTGCCAAGCAAGCATACAAGCTAGTCAATCTAAGAAGGAGAACATTATTTGACAAGAGTTGAGTACTCAAATTAAAAATTGATATCTGTCAACTAACTTTTCTGTAGGCTTTTTAAGCACAAAAATTAGAAAATATTTTATAGATCAATAATGATGGCTGCAGAAAGAATTTTGAACATCATAAAAAGTTTACAACTTCTAAATTTTTAAAATTGAACATTCTATGTAGATACTACTTATTTAAAAATAAACATTTGAAATTTAAACCATGGTTTTAACGTCATGTCCATGAAATGTAAATGATATTGTTTCTACATTGTTCTCCTGTAAATTTTCCATTTCTGCATTGTAACTGATTGTATTTTTTTATATATATTGATAAGCTGTAAAGCTTTAAGTATTTATAAAGAAAGAAAGAAAGAAATCCACACAACAATTCTTCATAAGAAATCATTTTTGTACTCACACATAGGGTTTATCTGAACTTCATCACTTTTCTCTGAGTCAAGATATTCTTTCGCCTGACAGCTGTATTTGTTGTATTTAACATCTTTGGTGACAGTAAAGCTGTAGGTCTCTCCATCCTTTCTGTCTTGCCCGATGTCGTTGACAAACCATGAATACGATAATGGCGGAAACTTCTTGTAAAATCGAGGGGCAGATGTAGATCTACTTTCACATTTAAGGTAAGCGTTGTTTCCAACTTTAACTTCAAGGTTTCCTTTTATGTTAGGTTTAACTGGTTTCCCTGAGAAGAAGATCTTAATGATATGAGTATCACAAGGGGATTCTAATTGATAACATCTAACAAACGATGCATTATTCCTGTATTTTTGTTATGTTAAACAATATTCTAAATTTTCTTTAGTTATATGTTTGTTATACAATATATTATAATTACATAAATCTTTTTGACAATAAACAATGAAATGAAGATAATGCTCTCAATGAGAACGTTCATTTTTTATATGAGTATTAAAATACTTCAGAGAAAATTTGACAGATGCTTTAAAATGTTTACCGAAAACTATGAGAACAACTCCTCCTTTTCTAGACAAAGATTCTTTTCCTGAAAGACTTCCAAAGTAATATCCAGCATCATCAACAGTAATATTTCTCACCTTGAAGGAAATGTTTACAGAATCAAAGGGTCGGGTTTGGTATTCATATTTTGCAGACATTACTACTTTTTCCTTTTTTAATGTTATTATAATAGATGGCGATCCGATATTTCGATGTAATATGTAATAAAATCCACCTTTCGGAAAAAAATCAGCAGTCCATGATATGTTAACTGATGTTCCTTCCATAGCTTCTATTGTACTGACTTAAACAGAAAGAAAAAGCGATAAAAAGATGTTAAATAAATATCATAAGCAATTATTATATGTAAAGTAACTTGTAATAAAAGTAGGGATATAACGAATATTGATCAAGATAAAATTAAAACAAACTAGAGGGATTGTGAGCAATGAGCTCACTAAATGATACCCCCGCATCCCATAATGTCCATGTTTTGCTATATATTGTTTTACGGTAATGTGTAAAGAGGAATAACTCTTTACCAAATGTTATCAAGAAGCATTTATATGTGACGCCATAGGTAAGGATATAATGACAATGTCCATGTTTTGCTATGGGAAACCTAAAATACGTGTCGAAAAAAAAATGTAAAATATGAGGTGCACAATGGCATTATGTAATAAAGATTCTGTGAAATGTTCATTAAATTTCACTCAGTAGTATAAGAGGAGTTGCGGATAAGAGATGGGTACCCCAAAGCGTAACAGACGGACGGACGGACGTACAGACAGACGGAAATACCGATTACAATATACCCTCCCACTTTTCAAGCGGGGGGGGGGGGAGGGCGTATAAAACTCAGCAAAAAAACATGGAAACACGGAGTCTTTAAAACGCGAAACGTGGAAACTGCGGGTGTTGTCGGAATAAGAGTATTTCCAATGGACGGGTTTCTCCATTGTGTGTACTTTACTTAATTAGGTAATCAAGGTCATGTAGAAAAAGAATGCCATACCAATTTGTAAGAAAATTTATATACACTGTAATTGTGACAAAAGTCATTTTAACAAGATTAGAATTCGTAAAATGTTGCCTTAAGGTACAAAAAATGTCTCTGAATTGTCAAAGTAACGTGTTTTACCCATACTTATTCTTCAAACTTCATCTTTCAAGTTAATCATATTACACAGAGAAAATAAGTAAATCTCAAATATGTTTTTAGGAATTGCGAATAAAAACACCTCTTTAAATTTGATCAATTTACACATTTTAAAAATAAAAATCATAGGTATCCAGGCTTTTGAAAAAAATCCACAATTTTCATACATATAATGTATTTTATTTTTTATTAACTTTGATCATTTTACATTGCAAAGCTTAATTAATCACTTCTCATGTCATATCATGTTAATAAATATTGGTATCTATTGTAAGATAAAAATGAACATTGATTTCTTGATATATGTAATTCTAAAAATGCTTTTATAGGGTAAAAATTTCGACTTTCGATTAGACCTTCCTGAGAACTTCAAAGAAACTTCCTGGCTGAGGATTGGAGTCCCTTAAACAAGATTGATGATATTTTTGTATCAATGTATTTGTATTTAGTTATTGTGAATATTAAATTTTGAAAGTTGTTCGATAACAGTTTGTTTAATTTACATTTATTCAAAACGCAAGGAATCCCATTTTTTATGTATTTTCATTTATCTGAAAAGCTCAACCACTTCGTTTCAATTTGTAAGCCATTTAATAATATCATTTTCTCGCTTTTAAGAATATAGAATAGCTGTGATATCTTAAGACATTTAAACTCGTAGCATTTGATTACAATTTTAAGGGTGAAACGTGTAACCTCTTTAGCGCATTTGGTTTAACTTATATGTTTTATACAGAGTTTTCAATCAAGGTTTTCATGCTAATTTTGACACCCGAATTCCCTTTTTCCTTGTAAGCAAAGCGCACACACAGCGATTGTAACTGTCCGACCGTGGATATCTGCTAACCCTAAACATTTATTCCCACTTTTGCTGTTTCAAAAGACTGCGTCTTGGCGTCATCCTCGATTAAAAGGATTAATGAGATTGAGGACTGTTTAAAATCTTTACAATTTACGCATTGAAGAAATCTACCGTTATCTATATTGTAGTCCACAGAACCTGCTCCAATATCTGATCTGCTGCCATCATGCGTCTTGACAGTTACAGATTCTTGGAATCCTTGATCGCTCCCTAGTCGTGGGAATTAGAAAGTAAATAATAGCAAGATTTATCAAAGGATCATATATCTGTTATATTTTTCAAAGGAGATGACTCAGTAAATAAAAATAATTTTTGCTAAGTCTGTGTTTATTGCTAAAATAAAAAATTCAAACGTAACATCAATACCAGGGCTAATTGTAACGGGAACCGTTACAGATGTTCCCCAAACGCTCACCAACTCCCTTTTGGTGCCTTATTCCCTGTAAACTTCATTAAATAAGACAAACTCTATGCATTTGAGACTTTAACAACGTTTACCCAGAAGTGTACCAAGTTCATTCAAATTGTAGCAGTTCACGCGTGCGCATGTGAATGCATGTGCGTAATGACCATATCAACTTGTCTACACAATTTATATATTTTAATATATTAAATATTAAAGTATTTAATCCAAAGGTATTAAAAATACGCTCATTCAAGTGTATTTTTTATTTTACTCGTTTCATGTGCACGCACGTTCATACATGAGCATGGTGACCACACCTTCCTGTAGAAGTCCATTACATCTATCTATCTTCTAAATCCTACCCCGTTTGGTTGAAAACCAAGGGAGTTATAGCCGTTTAAATTTTCAGCCAATCAGATTGCACAGATCAGACGTGTATTCATGTGCATGGTGACCATACTTTCTTGTAGAAGTCCATTATATCTATCTATGTTCCAAATCCTATCCTGTTTGGTTTAAAACCGAGGGAGTTATAGCCATTTAAAATTAAAGCCAATCAGATTGCAGCGCACGTGCATGCACGTGTTTTCATGATAATTGCTATATAACATGTTGTAGAATATGCTAATGCATGGCTATTTTGAAAATTGCAAAGGATTTCGTCAAACAACAAGAAAGATATTGAGACTTTAGTTTTAGCCAATCAGAGCGAAGCGCAGGTGCAAGCGCGTGAGATCTTGCTATTTTGACCATGTCATATTGTCTATGCTACTAATATATCTTTATAATATGAGTTTCAAAGCATTTCATCAAAAAGGTAAAAAGTTACGCCTATATCAATTAAATCCGTCATTTCACGTGTTGCACGTGCACCCTCTTGCAAGCACGTGCGCGCAAAATGACCTTCGTTCTGCAAATCTACATAACATGCCTATTGACACTAAAAAGGTTTTACCTAAGTCGGATGTGTAGTTTACAAGATCACTCCTGGACAAAAAAGTACCCAGGAAGAAGAAGAAGAAGAAGAAGAAGAAGAACTAGAAACTCTTGTTGCTACAGCAACAAAAAGGTCTTCCGTTCTCCTCTATTTATCTGTCTGAATGAGCTTTTATCTATGTTAAAAAAGGCATATAATATTTACAATGATTAAAGGAAAACAAACGACCGGAGGTATAACTCACTAAGATTCTCGACGCTACTTTAGACAATTATAGTCTTAATAACATTTATAAAAAATCATTTTCAATTTTTTATCACTTCCTGTGACGACCGGAAATGACAGCTCACGCATTCTACCCTGTATCTGTTGCCCAATCTTCACAAGTTTAGTGTCTTGATCTGTTACATTTTAAGAAATTTCGTAATGTTAAGTTCTCATTTTGAGGACAAGAAATCACGTGACCGGGAGTAAATTTTAAAAAAGATATTTGAGGTTACTCAAGACTTTTGCAGTCTGAATAACATGTCCTAAAATCATTCCAAATACTCTTTTTATAAAAGATGTTTCTGGGATAGTATGATACTAAATTTATGCAGTTTTTTCTCTCATGACCCGAAGTTGTCGCTTTTGTTTTCACATGGACTGACATATTTCGAAATTACAAATAAGATGCTATAATGTAATATTAAGAAAGATTCCACAAAGAAAAGTTGAATTTTTTGATATATTTGATCACTTACTGTGACAACCGGAAGTGACTGCGGACGATGTTAACTCAAACCGATTTGTCTACTCAGCATGATCTACCATTCCTATTCCTTTGGTGTCTTTATCTCTTACCGTTTACGATAAATTCTTAGTTTGAGGACAAAAATCACGCGACCGGAAGTGAATTTTACAGAGATATTTGAGGCATCTGTAGATATATGGAATCTGAATAACATACCCAAAAACCGTTACAAACACTTTATCTATAAAAAATATATATTAGAAAGAAAAATACTTAAATTATGTAGTTTTTCCTCTTATAACTGGAAGTTGTCTTTTTTGTTTCCTGTGGGACTGATATATTCTGAAACTACAAGTAAGATGCTATAATGTGATGCAATAAACGTTCCATAAAAGAAAAGTTGAAATTTTCGATTTCTTAGACCACTTCCTGTGACAACCGGAATTGACGGCAGACAATGTAAACCAAAATAGTTTTTCCTACTCATCAAGATCTACCATTTCTATAAGTTTGGTGTCTTTATCTATTACCGTTAACGAGATGTAGCTATAATAACTTCTCATTTTGAGGACAGGAAATAACGCGACCTGAAGTGAATTTTAGAAAGATATTTGACGTTACTGTAGTCATTTTGCAGTCTGAATAACATATCTTAAAATCATTACATATACTTTATCTTTAAAAAATATTTATGGGAAAGAAAAATACTGAAAATATGCAGTTTTTCTCTAATAACCGGAAGTTGTCGTTTTTATTTCCGGTGAGACCAACATATTTCGAAACTACGAATAAGGTGCTTTATTGTGATGCAAAAAAGTTGCAAAAAAGAAAAAGTTGAAATTTTCGTTTTTTTTATCACTTCCTGTGACGACCGGAAGTGACGCCGGACAATGTGAACCCAATTGGTTTTGCCTACTTATCAAGGTTATTACTCATATAAGTTTGGTGTCTTAATCTTTGACCGTTTCTGAGATATGACTTTACTTTTTTGAAAAAAAGCGGAAATCGGACATATCTGACGACCGGAAGTGAAATTTGAAAAACTGAAAACTGCATTTGAAAGATATTTTTACTCTCTATCATCTCTGAAAATTTCATGAGAATCCGTCCAGACATTTCTGAGAAATCATCAAAAAAAAGGGGGGAATTAATACAAAGAAACAGTAGAATCACTATAAGGTCTTCCGTCTGAAACGGAAGACCTTAAAGATAATAATAATAACTAGATGCGATCTCGTTGCAAGCAACGAGTAGGTCCTCTGTCCGATATCTGATGGAATAAGACCTGTGTTGGGATAATTCCACTGATAGGATAAAAAATGTCAAAAAGGCACAAGAATTCTTCAAAATATGTTTAGAAACACAAAAAAATGTAGGATCTATCAATTCCAATTAACTTCCGGTTCTACTTCTTCACTTCCGGTGCGACCGTATGTGCTCAAAACTACTTTCAACTCTACGTCAAGCATGCAGTAATCATCCCTGAAAGTTTCGATGGAAAATACTCATTTTTAGACAACTTCCGGTTTGAGAGAACCGTACTTCCGGCGGAAATATTAAGATGCTACGCATTCTTTAAATCTCTGTAATGAACAATTGCATTCATTAGAAAATGAAAAAAAATCGCTATACATGTACATGTATTGAAATTACATGTACATGTACTTCCGGTTTACAACGGAAGTGTCGACGGAAAAAATGAACAAATTGAAAGTATGCATTTTGTTGGGAACATTATTTTGACCCTCTTTTGTTCAATATTGCTTATCAAAATATTCACGCTTTTCGAGATATAAAGCGTCAAAGATTTAGCATTCCAGCCCCCTATGACCCTTTATTACGTAACATATGATCAAATTTTTAGCATATATTGTTGCAAATAGTTAAGTTGAATATCTTTGCTTCAGTAATGTATCACAAAATATTGATCATTAAAGAGTAGAAGACGAGAGACTTTTGGCCCCTCTATGCCACTAATTTAAAGAGCTAACCCCATTTTCTTCATATCAAATGAAAGGTCTTACTATATTGCACATTTTTTATTATAATTTGTATGTCTGAACAAAATATTAACCAGTAAAAAGATATAAAAGAAAACGTATCAATTTTTGCGAGATGCATATGAGCCTATTTTTCGAGCCCAGGCGAGCGTCGATGCCTTTTTACCTGGAAAGCTCTATATGCAAAATGTCACTTCTACCTTCACTGAAAATCTCAAGTCGATATCTTCGGTCGTTAAGGAGGAGATCTCAGGACAAGTCGACCCTCTAAAAATCAGAAAATCGTCCATATCTCATGACCGGAAGTGACGTCATCAACGACGAAAAGTTCAGATGAATATCTATCAGATCTGAAAGTTTGGTGAAAATCGGGCGAGCCGTTTCCGAGAAATCGCGTGCACAAAATCGGTAAGAAAAAAATAATAACTAGATGAGATCTCGTTGCGAGCAACGAGTAGGTCTTCCGTTGAATTTCTAGATAAGATGAGATGTGATTTTGACTGACATAATCGTTAAAAGCGAATGACTTTAAGTTTTTCTTCATTAAATTTAAAGTTTCTCATTTTTATCAGGGTATTCTGAACATCTTTTGTTCAATAAGGCTTATAAAAATACTCCCCCTTTTTGATAGGTAAAGCATAAAAAATACAGCATTTTGTCCCTTGCAAACCCTAATTACGTAACATATGATCAAAATGTTATCATATATCGATGAAAATCGTTTAGATGAATACTTTTGCCCCAGTAATGTATAACAAAATATTGGTCATTAAAAAGTTATAGATAAAAAATTTTTGGCCACTCTGAGCCCCTTTTTTGAGGAGTCAGCCCCTTTTTCTTGATATCAAATGAAAGGTCTTATGAATTTGAAGATTTTTTGTTCAACACTTATTCAGAGATTTCTATTCGTTGTGGAGATATGCTAAATGGAAATATTTAATGGCCACTCCTACAAGTCCTTAATGGGACCGTTTTACAAAAATTCAAAGTATGAATATTGTTTAGAACATTATTCTGACCATCTTTTGTTCAATATTGCTTATCAACATATTCTGCATTTTCGAGATATAAAGCATCAAAGATTTGATATTCTGGCCCCTTCTGACCCCTAATTAAGTAACATATGATCAAA